ACAAAAATTAGCTGGGCATGGTGGCATGTGCCTGTGATCCCAGCTACTTGGGAGGCTGAGGCAGGAGAATCGCTTGAACCCAGGAGGTGGAGGTTGCAGTGAGCCAAGACTGCGCCACTGCACTCCAGCCTGGGCAACAAGAGCAAAACTCTTATCTCAAAAAAAAAAAAAAAAATTAAATAAATAAAATAAAAAGGCTGGCCGCAGTGGCTAATGCCTGTAATCCCAGCACTTTGGGAAGCTGAGGCAGGCAGATCACCTGAGGTCAGGAGTTTGAGACCAGCCTGACCAACATGGAGAAACCCTGTCTCTACTAAAAATACAAAATTAGCCAGGCTTGGTGGCGCATGCCTGTAATCCTAGCTACTCGGGAGGCTGAGGCAGAAGAATGGCTTAAACCCGGGAAGTGGAGTTTGCAGTAAACTGAGATCATGCCATTGCACTCCAGTATGAGCAACAAGAGTGAAACTATGTGTAAAAAAAAAAAATTCTCTGATGTTCCTGGTAAAGCAAAAAAAAAAAAAGAAAAAAAACTTTTTTGAAAAAATCTTGACTTATATCTGTCTTTTGAAGTCCTGATTGGGGAAAGGAGTGGTGCATCTTTCACTCTCTGCTTTTATTTTTTTTATAGAGACAGGGTGTCACCATGTTGCTTAGACTGGTCTCAAATTCCTGGGGTCAAATGATCTTCCTGCTTTGGCCTCCCAAAGTGCTAGAATTACAGGTGTGAGCCACCACACCCGGTACAATGTTTTATAAACATTATTAACTAATTTGGAACCTGGCAAAGAGAAGGAACCGTTCTCTGACCTTTGCCTAGAAGTTTTCCCTGAAACACTTGAGCAGTCATGTTACCTCCTGAAGCTTGTTTCTTCAGTTGTAAAATGAGAACCATCATGTATAGCTTACAGGTTTGCTGTGAGGATATGGGAGTCAAATACAGTGGGCACTCAGTAAATGGTAATGAGTGTTTCTTAACCTTTTATGGATCCTTCGAAACTTAGGCCGTGTACAGGATGGCTAACACCTGTAATCCTAGCACTTTGGGAGGCCAAGGTGGGCGGATCACTTGAGGTCAGGAGTTCAAGACTAGCCTGGCCAACATGGTGAAACCCTGTCTCTACTGAAAATACACAAATTAGCTGGGTGTGGTGGCACGCACCTGTAATTCCAGCTTCTAGGAGGCTGAGGTGAGAGAATCACTTGAGCCCAGGGGGCAGAGGTTGCAGTGAGCTGGGATCATGCCATTGCACTTTAGCCTGGGTGATAGAGCGAAACTCTGTCTCAAACCCCAAAAACAAACAAACAAAAAATGTAGACACATGAACCTCCCTAGTTGAGGAAACACCTCTTAGTGATGAAGACTAACTTAATTCTTCCTATTCTTGTTAGCCTCAATTTCCCCATGTGGAAAATGTCATGTTAGATTAGTATCAAATTGGTATTCCATTGGCCAAAGCTAGTCTGAAGATATGTTTTATTTGGCACGTATAGAATGTAAAGAAGAAAACGGAGCCAACATTTGGAAATTAAGATGTTTGGGCTGGGCGACGTGTTCACCCCTGTAATCCCAGCACTTTGGGAGGCTGAGGCAGGCAGATCACAAAGTT